ATTTATATTGTAGTTTTCTATTCTAATATCATGTATATTGTAGTTTATTATTCTCATATCATTTATGTGGTAGTTTCTATGCTAATATCATTTATATGGTAGTTTTCTATTCGGATATGATTTATATTGTAGTCTTCTAATATCATTTATATTGTAGTTTTTTTCTAATATGATTTATATTGTAGTTTTCTATTCTGATATCATTTATATTGTAGTTTTCTATCCTAACATCATTTATATTGTAGTTTCCCATTCTAATATCATTTATATTGTAGTTTTCTATTCGAATATCATTTATATTGGAGTTTTCTATTCTAACTTAGATTATATTGTAGTTTTCTATTCTAATATAAGTACATTGTAGTATTCTATTCTAATATAATGTACCCCTAACCCCCAGGTACCTACTGTATAGGGTACTAGAGCCCCTATATAGCGCCCTATATAGTCGGTACCTACGGGGTTAGGGCACATTATATTAGAATAGAATACTACAATATAATATCATATCATATCATATCACATCATGCAACGCCATGAGATACAATATAAAATAGTCGAAAATGATAGAATACTAGCGGAAATGTCGTCATGGTATTCGAAGAAGCAAGCAGCAGTTGCTGCGGTGTGTGTATCGCTGTTCTTGGCTTGTTCTTTAGCTGCATCTCTGCTGAAAGGATGATTGTTCTCTTGTAAGCTCACTGTTTCATTACCACAGCAACACAAGTGGGGATCGCAAATAGGGTCGGTGATGACAGAGACTATACGAAGCGGGTGAGGAGGGTTGTTTCCTTCCTTGCCTTTTCATGCCAAACTTTCCACAGTTAGGAAAACTGAATCAGCTGCGAGGTAGTGGTCTGAAGCTGCCGCACCAGATCCAAAGCTCTGTGAAGGCTTCAAATGTGTGTACAGGTTCGCAGCAGTCACAGCAGATAGACCTCGGTGCCAAGCACTCGAGACAGAAGCTTGTGATGGACTGGCTACTCACATCAACATCAGAGACCACAAGCTCTACACCCGAAATCCTCGAAACCACGAATCCCCCAAGCCCTTAGCTTGATTTTGGGAGGGGTTGGCCCAGCAAGTTTGGGTGCAAGCTGGGTCTGCACTGTAGATGCACTGGTCCTCCCGGTACCTGATTGTGCCGGATACGACATTCCACATGCTGGTGCAGCAGGATGCCAACAGGTCGACAAGAGCGAAGCTGCAGACCCCCGGCTATGGCAACTTCGTCACAACCTTGTTACAGGGAAGAAAAACTAGACCGGCCCTTAATTAAGGACGGAGATTGAAAATTCACCTGTTCAGGGTCTCTCCAAATCGTGCTGACGTTGCTGGCAGTGGGTCTGCTGAACCACTCTGCTGCCGTAGAGCAACTCGGTAATGGCATTTTGGGACACGGCGCTGGGTAAAGCTGTCTGTCTTAATACTGACTGTCAGCTTCCTACTGCCAAGCTAGGGATCCTAAAGGTGTTTCTGGCATTGCTTCTTTGCTAGCCCTAGGCGCAGCTCAGGCTTGAGAGGTGCGTTTTGGCTGTAGCTCTGTTTCCAGGGTCGTTCAAGCTATGACCTTGATAGCAGCCTCTTCGTTCGCTACTTCACTAAGAGTATCTTGTTTGACTTGTAGAAAGTGGTACAAACCTGTGCTATGGACGTTGGTATTGCAGCTTCTATATAATATATCAGAACCGCAGTAGTACCACCTAAACCCCGACACCCCGAAGCGAACCGCATCTTTGCCAACTACCTTGCCATGCAATCCGCAATCCTATTCCAACCATTGAGGCCCCTAAACCCTAAACCCGGTTATGGAAACCGTTATCATAACTCTCATAAGCCCCCTCCAATGCCAAGTTCTAATCATTGAGGCCCCCTCGTTACGTTTGTGTCACTTGCTAAATTCATCTACTAACCCATAGGCCCTAAAGTAGTTCCTTTTTGGGGTTCATATATAGAATCCTATAAGGTAACCCCAAAAAGGCACTACTATGGGGTCTATGGGTAGGGCCATGGCGGACGATGCTCACGATGGCGAACATCACATCCCCCTCCCAGGGGTAGAGCTCAAGGCACGGTTTAGGGTTTAGGGTTTAGGGTTTAGGCCAGTGGGCTTTGGGCTTGGGATGCCGGTCGTGGGTTTAGGGTTAGCGTTACCACACTTCTACTTCAGAAGTAGGATTGTCCTGTCTGTGTGTGTAAGCGAGTAAGATGCGAGCTCGTGCTGTCACAGAGAACTATGAACTATGTTTGTCTGTTGTAGGTTTGGGTCTTAAGAGTCTAGTTTCGATTATCCATACCTGCATACATGTATGTAGGCGCACGTAGCATATAAGTCATATAACTGAGGTTGCTGGGGCTGTTTCGGTTCAGGCGCCTGGAACTGCAAGCGAGAAAAGTGGCATCCCAAAGTTGAAAGTTCAGGGCGATAGTGATGGTTTGGCTGCCCCTTGACAATCCCAAGACCGTAGCCACAGCACAACCAACCTAAACGAAGAACTTTCAACTCATCGCCAGAGCGTGCTGTGAGCCAGAGATTCGAAATTGCATGCTGAATGCTGCACAGAGGCAATGACCACAGTGAGGAATCAAAGAATCAATAATGTCCTGCAGAGTACCATCTTCAGAAGCACTGTCACGATGGGCATCCCGCCTTTATCTTGACAAGCACCGTAGCCATCGCCGTGTTCATCATCCATCAACACCATCACCATCACCACCGCCACTATCATCGTCCTAGTCCCTGTGCGATCATCACCACCACCACCGCCACCACCAGCATAGTCATGATCCTGATTCGCCACTTCTCCTATCATCGCTCGCATCATCAGCAATGCCAGTAACATCAGTCTCTGGACCCCTTGTATTTGCACAGCCCCTCTGTTTCAATCCCAGAAGCCCGCACCGTGGGAGGACCTCGCCGCTCCCAACATCGTGGACTTAGCTCGCGCTCGCTTGCCCAAAGGTCGTTCGGAACGGGGGGAAGGAACACTTGGAATTTGGATTTCCGCTTGTTCGTTCTACTGGCCTTGGGGATGCACAGTTGAACAGCAGGATGGCAAAGGGCAGCAGTCGCAATGTCAAATTAGGCCTGGTCAGCGGTTGGCTCAGTTGACCATCACCACCGTCATCGGCGTTTTCGCCATAAGTGTTGTCTTTGCCGCGAAATGGTTGTCAGCATCTAATATAGAAGCCTAAATGCCTAAATCATTACTACCAATTTTACTTTGGGTTCCTTCTTGTAATTATAGTATAATGGGCACCCAAACCCTAGTCTAATTATTAAGGCCCCTACATTAGGTTCACCTTCATAGTCACAACTCAAAATCCTGATGTTCCCCATGTTCTTCTTCCTTGCCATCATCTCGATTATGATCGGCATCATGATCGTCGCCATCATCATCATCATCGTCATCATCATCATCATCATCCTTTTCTTCATCATCCCGACCACACCACCACCATCACCGCCACCGCCACCACCACCACCACCACCACCGCAGCGGCCACGGTCACAATCACTGTTATCGTCATCAACATCAGCATCAGCGTCCTCCTCATCATCATCAGCATCTTCACCAACATCATCATCATCATCATCACCATCATCATCATGACCATTATACCCGACAGGACTATCATCATCATGATCATCATCACAATCATCATCATCGTCATCACCATCCGATGATGGCGAGCCGATTTGCAATGTTTGATGAGAGTTTTGCGTTAGTCAGTTCTAGTCACTGACATGAAAGCACTGACAATATGTGTCTAAAGGCTGAAAAGGTTTGAGAGGTAGAGCTCGACTGACATTGCATAAGCTGAGTGCAGTAGCCCGTCGAAGCCTCGAAGCATCCGAACCCGACTCCAGCTTTGTGCTTCATGTTCAAGACGTAAAATAGGGGCCTTAATGAAAAGAAAAAGGGTTTTGGGGCCCCGTATATCATACTTATAACAAGGAACCGCCAAAATAGTATTGGTAATTATTTCGGCCCTTACATTAGCCGACGGCACATTTGTCCCGGTCTCTTGGTTTCCCTTTCCGTCGGCCTGACGGCTTCGTGACGAGCACGTGGAAGCGCCAAACTCTAGATATATAGTCTACCGGATAGATCTTGCATGCCAGTCGGAAGCAACATTGACAACACCCCGGTCTTGAAATCTTGGATTACGGAGAAAGAGACGAATGTCTTGCATCTGGTGGATATCTGGGGCTGTGGTGTCAGCAGAGGTTTGAGGCCCAAATCGCTTCGGGCTTCACCGGGGGTGCAGGTGCTGACCTGAAGATGCTGCCGCAACAGATCTTGGAGGAGAATTTGCTTTGGCAGGCCGCATCAGAAGCCGCCACTGCCTCCCTGAAACAGTGAAAGCGCGAGGTTTTAGTTTTGATCTTGCAGTCTTGGGATTTTCCTGACACATGACTGTGAGCGCTGAGGTCCACTCGGGTGAATATGTCCTCCCTAAGCCACCTAGTTTGCAAATGCTCTTGCGATTGCTGGTGCTGCTGCTGCTGCTGCTGCTGCTGCTGCTGCTGCTGCTGCTGCTGCTGTTGTTGTTGTTGTTGTTGTTGGTGGTGGTGGTGGTGGTGGTGGTGGTTGTCGCGGCGGCGGTGGCGGTGGCGGCGGCGGTGGCGGTGCACTGGTGTTGGTGTTAGTGGCGCTGCTGCTGCTGCTGCTGCTGCTGCCGCCGGCGTCGTGGTGGTGGTGGTGGTGGTGGTGGTGATGGTGGTGGTGGTGGTGGTGGTGGTGGTGGCGGTGGTGGTGCCGTCGTTGTTGTTTTCGTTGTTTCCACTACTGCTGCAATTGTGTCGGCCTTGTCTCTCCACTCTTCGGTGTAGCTGTTGATTCTGTTATTTAAAACGCCGTTGCTGAAGATGAACACTGATGATGATGATGATGATGATGGCAGCCGTGATAAGAATTAGGATGTTCCATGACACGTGAATAGCGACGGCGGCGGTTGCTACATTGTCGTTCTCGATGGCGATGATGTGGGTAGCAATGCTGCCGGCGGTGGCGACGACGATGACGACGATAATGACCATGACCGAGGAACCCTTCGACCCTATACCGACTTCTTAAGCCCCAAGCCCTAACCCTAACCCCCGAGGTACCTACTATATAGGGTACTAGAGCCCCTAGGGTCCTATATAGTAGGTACCTGGAGGGTTAGGGTAAATCCTGAAACCCAAAACGTAGGTGATGCCATGCCGACGTTGATGCTCATGTGATTGTGCGGCTTATGAGCCTCGGCTCAGGCAGCCGACGAGCTCCGGTTCTACGCCGACACCGAAGCTTGCGACGCCGTGGACTGCCGTGTTGGTGAATTTAAGGTCTTCAGCTGAGGCATGTTAAGTAAGCTAAAATACTCCGAGCTCTAGTTGAACACCAGGCATTGAATCTATAGCCCCCCTGAAACGGAACCGTGAACCCTGCCTTCGTCGCTGTTTGCGTCCACCATGTCGTCATAGAGCTACAATGCCCCACGTGTACAAGATTCGGATGTCGCTAAACCCTGCCCGAAGCCCTGAAGACGGGGCGCGAGGGGTGCTTCCAACAGAGTTGAGGGTCCAGGACCTGGTGTCACTTCCCGGTGCCTTGCAGCGTGGCAGCACTAAGGCGGTTCGGGCTTCTCCGTGGCACACGCGCAGGGCTTGTCCATGAGGCTTAGCTATGGCTACAGGCTTCAGGCACTATTTCCCCTCAGCACCCGCGACATATAGCCTCAAGCTCAAAACCTTAAATATCTCATCTGCAGCAACTATGCAAATCTAGCCCTTGAAAGAGGCGCAGCCAGCTAGTGCCATCCCAAGGATCAACGTTCTTCACGGCTATGCGTTCAACTACTACCACTTCCTCACCGAGCAGGCCGGCCGGGTCCGATCGCTCTTGACATGGAGTTTTCTCGTATGTTTGGCTACATGGGACTTTCCGAATAATTAGGGTACCTGATTGTGGGGTCCCTATAACAAGGATCCTACCATTTCGGGTGCTGTATTAGGGTCCCCTATTTTCGGAAACCCCCACATGTTATCAGACATACAGCCTCTGGGAATGCTCGATCCACCTTTGATCTGAACGTGGGGCGAAGGACCTAGCTTTGTCTGTTGTGTTTGATTTCTCAGTTCTGTAGCAGAAACACGCTAAGACGCTCTCTCTCACACTCACTCCCTCGTTCACATCGTGGCGTGCTTACTCCTTCGAAAAAAGCCTTATTGTATCTCTCTCCATCTCCCTCTCCGTCTCTCGCCAACTCGCCTTCCTCCTCCTTCTTGCAAGTACGGACACACGGATGACTACGAGTAAAAACAGGCGCGTAGGTACACAAACAGATGGGGTGCCAACCTGGTCAATCGGGTCGACATTCGCTGCGGAGCAGGGAGGAAGGCAGTCCAGCAGCACAGCAAGGGATCATTTGTCAACAAAAGATAACGATATGAACTACGAACCCCAATTGTGTTGGATGAGACAGTTCCGTCCCCGGTCTGCCGGAGTCGAAGCCGGGCTGGGGAGGTTCAGCCGAACACCGAGTATGGACGCAAATTTCGGGTTTACACGATGTCCGACGGGTGCCATATTGCAGGTTCGGAGTTAATCGGATGGTACTAGCATCTCAGCCGTCAGCGCCTGTGCTTTGTATCTGTTTCTATACTCTCTTGAGAGTCTTCTTGCAGCTTTGTTGTCCGCGTTTGCTGTTTCGGTTGATGCGCATTTCAGCTAGCTGACCTCGTAATGTAGCTCAAGCTCTTCGCGGGCATGCAGCCCTGAAGAAGGTCCCTGCCCTCATCGCTCTTCGCCATGAGCTGGCGCCTCATCTTCTTAGGAGCCCAATAGGTAAACTTTAAACTTTTTTGGTATATTAAACCCCTACTAAAAGAAAAGTTTAAACTTTTTTGGGCCAGGGTATTGGGCTTCAAGGTCTTCACAGCGTTTCATTCCGCGGTCGAAGGCTTGGTGTCTTAGGCTCACACGTTGCTGGATTCAGGGGGTACATGTTGCGGGATTGTGATCCTTGATGTTAATGGCTTCCAAGACAAATTAGGGCTCGCATGTTGCAGCTGCGATTTCATCTTGGCCTCGCTGTTGCACAGACGTGCTGTAAGTTTGTGATGATTTGTTGATGCAGGGGCTCAGGAAGCTATGAACGCAAGCAGCCCTGAACTCCGCATAAAACCACGGGCTCTACTACCGCCAATGCACCACAAACTCGAATCCCTGAACCCTCTACCAGAAGTTTGTGTTCGGAGGACTGGCTCCCAGAAGATCGAATACACATTCTCTATGCGGGAATGAGCTGGCAGGCAAGCTTGCGGTAAGAGGCCCATGTCCCGAGGTGCACGCACAGAATCCGAAGGCTAAACCCTGAAGTCCCCTACAGTAAATACCCCGACCCTTGAAATCCCCAAACCCGAAACCCCAACCTAGACCCCTAACCCTAAACCCCTGAACGGGAAAGCCCTAAACCCGAAACCCAAGCCCTAAACCCTAAACCCTAGCCCTAAACCCTGAACCCCAACTCTAAACCCTAAACCCCAAACCCTAACCCCAACTCTCAACCCCAAGCCCTAAACCCCAAACCCTGAACCCTCAACCCCCGACCCCAAACCCTGAACCCTCAACCCTAAGCCCTAAACCCGAAACCCCAACCCCTAAACCCTAAACCCCAACCCTAAGCCCTAAACCCTCAACCCTCAACCCCAAACCCTGAACCCTCAACCATAAGCCCTAAACCCTTAAACCTGAAGTCCCTAAGGCCCTCGGAGTCTCTGAGACAAAGCCCGAAGTTTGCCCCAGAATCTTTTGAGGCTTGTAAGAACCCTTTAGGGTTTAGGATTTAGGGTTTAGGGTTTCGGGTTTAGGATCTAGGGTTTGGGGTTTAGGGTTTAGGGTGAGGCTGATAAGAACCCTATTTAGGGTGTGATCGGAGCTCCAAAACCCTCACGAGAACTCCTCTACAGGGATCCTTATAAGGCTTAATATAGAAGCCTACATAAAATTATCAATCTTATTGTTAGGGTTCCTTATTATGGTTTATACTACTACTCTGAAGGAGCCCCAAAAAGCCCTATCCTAATT